ATTACCCGTCGAGTTTATAGTATATGCGCGAGTAAAAATAAAAATATATGAATGGGTCTTGTATACCTGTTCGCTATAAGAACAAATATATCTCGGAAACGATATAACAATTTTTTCACAGCTATAGGTGAAAATTCTATACCTACGTATTGATTACATATGTATGAAAATAATAGCTACAGAAATGCGTATACGGTCTACTATGCTTGGAGATGACTTGATCTATGCAAATAGTTAAATCAAAACTACACGTATGTATTTTACTTATCTGCACTGAATAGAAAATATATTTCGTGCAATTACGACACTGTGTAATAAGTTACTTTTATTGATGTTTTACTATTTGAAACATTAGGCCTACGTATTATTCTGCTATGTATACAAAATTTACAGTGACAGTACCTCTTGACGATTTATAAACAAACGCACATTCATTTATTGTAAAACCTTTCGTCCAGTTATCAGCATGGCCGTTATTGGCCGAACTTGGCCCTTTCCGATATTATAAGGACTTTCACTTGTATGGCACTTGGATGGAAAATATTTTCCATCCAAGTGCCATACAAGTGAAAGTGCTTATAATAAAGCCGTTTCCCGCTGTTTATATTGTTTTTGTTCCATTAAAGAGCGAGAGGTCCACACAGTAGATTAGCCCGTTAACATTAATGAGTATTTCCATTACCTCGATGCTTTTATCGCTGTTTTAGTATCCTTATTGGATATTATTCTTCTATTCTGCCTCCAGACCACGTTTTCTTATATCACACATGCGCTGATGCTTGTGGTCACCGTATTTCAAGGAATAATATTAGTCGTAATACACCATGACTTTTAGTGCGGGGAGTTCTTAGGAACAGAGAAAAATCCTTTCGCCGCAGGGAATTGTTTTGTTTTGTATACAGTATAGGTGGACAAAATCTTACTGTTGGTTCCGAACAATCGGGTAATGAAATTCTTACATGTACAATCCAATACACGAGATTTGAATTCGGGCATCCAAGACCAAAGTTCCGTAAACAAAACCAGCAGCACCTTAAATTACCACCCTAATATTTTACTTTATTTAATGATGTAAAAAATATTTTTAGATCAAAGATCAAAGTGCTTTTAAGTATGCTTTTAAATATAATGATTCAATGCACTGTGAGACTTTAAGTCTCAGACAGACTGACTAACTGACTAACTAGGTCAAATCACTCAAGGTAACCCAAGTAAAGCAGTAAAGCGGTTGATGCCGGGTCGTCAAAGGGGAAATAAACATAAATAACCCTAGAACGGTTAAACACAAACGCAGGTTGTGCATTGACTCTTTACCGTACGTTAAGTAGCAAGTTCAGGCGTTAAAACTTAACATGTTTACTGTTACTGTACTTTTGCATGTTTATTTACCTGATATGTAGGGTTTTACTTTGCTTGGATTGTTCCTTTTTATTTGATATTTTTAGAAAATGTGTTATATTAATAAGTGTCTAGAATGAATTGCTATTGTTATTTCATCTGAATTTTAGAATGATTGTTGTTTGTTTAGGTCCAGACTATGCTATTAGGTTTTAACTAGCTGTCAATTTAGGTTTAATACGACAAAATTGTCAAAACTATAAACTGAATGATAGTATTTTAGCTTTGAGATGATTTTTTTTATTATAAGTAAAGCAAAGCCTACTATTAGCTATTTGAGCATCTAAAACTGTCAATCTTAACCTATCGAGTTAACAGGAACCTCTAAGCTATTGAGATAGGTATTAAAAAGTTCTATGTACTATACATTGGCTCAATATTATCCTTACAAAACTATAATATGCTTGTTTTTAGGTAGGAATGCCTACTTTGATAAATCCTGATACATTTTCTTTACTTTACGAGAACTGGGGGTTGTCTTCCGCGTAGCAGCAGACAAGCGCATTCGATTAAACTCATTTACAGTAAATGTAGTATTTATCAAAATAGTTAGTTTAAGTGATGTTTTAGTTTGGGGAACCAAATCCCCACCGGACTGAGGCTGTTCTAGGGCCAAGTCCTCTTCAGCCTGGAAAACATATGAATTTCCTTTGATTGTGAATAGCCTATTCGACCAACTAAGATTGTAAGTTAAATAGTTTTCGTGTTTGTCTTGGCTAGGAAATGTATTAATTTACGGTAGCCATCAATCAATGTGTTCATCTAAACTTTTCACAAATAATATTAATTCAATACGAACTGTATTAAAGTATTCGTTTTAAATTACCTGGATGATTAAATTAATATATGTATTTGTCATAGATTTTACCCTACAATGATACACAATTTTTGATATATTTGTACTTTTATTTTACTTAGTACCATGGATCTCATAGTACTAGATATCACACTGAGATAGATACTACAATCGTAAACAACAATACCCCCGCCGCAGCAAACTGCAGACTTAGTGAATTACCATTTGCCTGATTTTATTTACACTCAAATGTCTCCTTAAAATTATCACATTTATTCCCTATTTAAATAGATTTAAATGTATAATTAGATTAACGAGTACTTAGGTTTGCTGCAACAGGGAGAGTAAAAAAAAAATTTTTTGTAAAATAGTATTTCTGTAGTTTAGTCAGAAATAAATGTATTTTCCAAATTTAATCGAAATATGTTCATAAACGAGCAAACTACAACTGTTGCGTACTAATCACTTTTCCATACTTTTATTCAAAATTGATTTCAATATATTATAATTTTATTTCCTCTTTGTTCTAAATACAATTTCCTATTTTACTTTCCCATCCCAATTTCTTGACAGCTGAAAGTTATTTAATTTAATGTTTATTTACATCATATTTTTGATTATTATAAAAAAACATTGGGTTTCTATCTTCAATACAATCACCACACACAGTTTTTGTTCTCAATTTTATTTTAAAACTACATACATTTTTCATGGGATTCAAGCTAAATATTATTCATTTTACTTGTAAAACTACTTTATACAATTCTTATCATTAACATTACTAAATCCTGCATGAATGGAAATACATTTTAAGTGATACCTATTATCAACCAGCAAGACATTAAATGAACTTGGACTTAATCACTCAAGAAGCCAGTTATGAATCTACCAAGGCTATGTGTGACATCAGTCAAATTGTGAATGATTGACATTCTGAGGCGCCTCAGTGAGTTTCAGTATTAAGTTTAATGCAACTTCACTATTTACTCTCAAAACTGAACATTGTACATTAAATTGGAACTTTTCTTGTTACTTACTTCTTTTTATATAATTGATTTGATGTAAAATATTTAGCTGACAAATCCCAACAATATTGATTTTGAAGTACTTCACTTAACATTTTTCTTTGCCTAATTAACTAGGCTGGTCCTTCGATATATTTCTCTTATTTTTCTTATTCTCAAATACCTTTCCCTCACAAATTCTTGGTCCTTCGAGCCGGATTATTTTGTTACCAGCCCTGTGGCCTTATAGTCTATTATCGAAACAAGTATCTTACTTCTCATTCATTCTGTCCCTACGTGTCTGACTGTACGTAACACGCCCATTGCAATATGCCCGGCAACAGATCAACAGATTTCAAGTCTGAAACTTACATACATCTCACCAACTTGACTAGATTCTCTCATCTATCAGAGATTATCAACGACTATGACACACCTATTACCAAAGCGGACTTAAGAAAATTGACCAATTACCGTAATGAAATCCAAAGAAAATATGACGATTTTCTCGGCAACTTAGAACGTGTTGTTCAAATTCAGGAACCCGAGAATATCACTGAAGAGCGTTTGGTAACCGATCAAAACAGTGTATCGGACTTATTCATTGAGTTGACTTCTTCTATTGATGATCTATTGTCATCTAACGATGACCAACTTAGCCTACCTGGTTCGAACGCTGAATTAACTATACAGCATCAGTCATGTTCAGCGCGACTACCAAAACTTGAGCATCCTAAATTTAGTGGGAACTTCGCTGATTGGTCAAACTTCATCAATGTCTTCAATACGACAATCCACAAAAACGACACGTTAAACAAAGTAACTAAGTTTAATACTTATTAAGTGTTTTGTCATCAGAACCATTGAACCTAATTAAAAATCTTTCACTTACTGAGGCTAACTTGGTACCTAAAAAATTACTGTTCAATATTATTATCGAGACTGTGTTCGTTTGTTATTTATTTTAGTAGGCTACATTGTCTACAAAATGGTTTTTAAATGTTACCAAAATGGCAGACGCTTACGCCTACTTCATCCCAATATTATTCTTGACTTACCAGAACAACAGTTGACTTATTCTCCACAAGAATAAAATAGCAATTTTAAATTTACAAATTTTTGGTACTTTCTCCGTAACCATTAGGCGCATAAAAACGCTGCAATATACGAAATTATTTGTTTTTTAAGCTCTACAAAATGGTTTGGAAAGAAATTGTGAAACTTTTGTTTTCAGCCTATTGTGAAACCTATTTTTACCCCATAAAACCCCCCATAAACCCCCATAGTCCGATCATGCTGGTTCGCAAACTCGTTCGAATAAATGTAGGTTTACACGTTTGTAACAACTTTCATCAAAATCGGATCATTTTTGCTCGAGTTATCGTGCTAACGGACATACTGTATATGAATTTGAACGGATGGTGTTTTTGGCCTTTAGGGACCCCAAAACGAAAAAGAAAATCGGTCCCGCGTCCAGGTTTTACCATGAGTACTACGGTAATAGATTATTCCCTATAAGCGTAATTAGCTAAAATCAAATTTTTGACACGTTTTAAATTATACTGTTAAATTTATAACACTTTTAAGTATAACACAACATTGCTTGCAGCTTTTTAAAACAATATTTTTCGTTATTGGGCCGTCGATCTTTGAAGCATTACTTCCACGTTGTAAGCTAGAGCTATTGTGAGCAATTATTACAAGTCCTCTTGAGTAGATAGGGTTGCCTGATTTTTTCTCCGGCGAATAAAAGTGACTGCGATGTTGGGAATGAGTATACGAGTGTGGGCAGGGGACGATTTGTCCTCGAGCGAGCGACGACGACTTGTGCAGGTTAAAACTGTATGTTAGTTTGTGTAGACTGTAGGCACTAAGCACTGTATATATAAGAAGTATGTAAGTATTGGTTAGCAGACAAGTAGAGGTTACAGCAGAGCTGTAATTACCAGCCCGCTGTTGCGAGTATAAGTGCGAGGTGAATGTCATGGCTGGCTGTACAAGTGATTGCAGTAGAAAGTGAATTCACTTTCAATTCGGCGCACTAGGTCATGAATGCAACTCAGCGCAACCTGTCTGACCTAGAGAGCTGACACTAAGTTAAGTAACGCTTGCGTAAAATACACATGTCTACATCTACATACAGTACTTAAGACTAAAAAAGGACTGAATAAACTAAATATGTATTCAGTGAGCAAATATCAAACATTTATTGTTTCCAAATTTTTATATTCGGAGAGTTCCCGCTCATCCCCAAGTATTGAACCCGATATGCCTTGCTCTCAGCGATTTCCTTCAGTTCATCTGAACTCAACGCCTCGCTGAACCGCTTTGGTAAGAATATACAGAAGTCGGCACTCTTTTCTGGCACATGGATGTCTAGGACGATGGACGCTCCGTATTTGGTGTTTACTGCCCTCCCTGCCACAATGGAGTAGCCCTCTTTGTTAGTAAGCGCCGAAACGTCGATCTTAGGGAGGTATGGTCCTTTCTCCAGGGTGTTGAGTTTTGCTGCTAGGGCCATGATTATGATCTATAAAAAAATATCCTGTTTTAAAAGTCGTACTAATAGTATGCCATATTATAGGCCGAGTACTGATATAATGAAAATTTATCGAGTTAACTAGCTTAGCATTAATAGACAATGCATAAACAACTGGAGCACTACAGCATAAATAGTACAATTGAAGATTGCTGCGTGAAACAAGTATGTCACAGCATATAACGCAAGGTGTAATATCATAGAAATATTAGCGCAACGGAGGGCAACTAGATACATATAAAACGTTTAACAGCTTAGTAATAACAGCTAAATGTATAGAAAAACCGTTGCACTTAGAATATACAAATATAACAAGTAAGGTTTGCAGATTGTAACAAGTATATCGCTGCATATATCGATTAGTAGAGTGTAATACCATACACATAGCAGTCCATCGTAGCGCAACTATATACATATTACAAATAGCTCTAAATAGCTAAATGTGTAGCAAAACTGTTACACTACAACATATGGATATATTGTAATCAATGTTATCTTGTATCATGTGTCAGGAATACCGTTTCATATAACAAGTAGTAGAAATATTAGTCAGTATAACATGTAGGCAGTACCAAGACAGTATAGCAAACGCAGCAGTGTAGAGAAAAACACATATTGGGACAGACAAAGGGGGGAAACCTTGAGTAAGTGGAGGGTATGAGAGTAATGCATCATTATGCATTAACGCAAAACAAATATCAGCACAGCAACAAATAAGAATATACAACTAGCACTCTTAGAAAATACAATTATGGAGCTATAGTAGTAGTAGAAAAGTGTAAGCTAAATAAGCATATACAAACTAAAAGATCATACAAGTAAGATTATTCTCACAGTTAATGCATAAGCACACGAGACATACCTGTTCGGTTGCGTGCAGAGAACTGTGCAGCCATGTACGCTTATGCCGCTTATAAGCAATCCTGGCTCCCCACAATCACTGACCTCACACAAACTGTATAAAAGCAGCCCATTGGCACTGCAAAGTTGTATTCGACTCCAGCTTGCATTGTGAGTAACTCGTGCACCTCGGTCAGTTTGTGCGTCCGGGGCAGTACGTGCATCAGTCGAAGTCGTCTACGCTTGTGTGATGCCAGAACATCTTCTCCATAGTTGTAAGTACAAACATATCGTAGTTTGCAATATAGTTGCTAGGATTTTAAAAAGACCATAAGATTTAAGCTTTTCCTATAACTCCTTGCTCTCCTTACCATAAGAGCAACGTTAAATAGCTAGACTCAAAACTTACAAAATTATTTACAATTATTTAATGTCAAATCTGAGTGTTGTAAAACGTGGTAATGCTCGTTAAATTAGAAATCTGAAGTGAAGTATGTAGCTAGAATATTAAAAGATGTCTAAAAATCTGTTTGATTAGAAATACGTTGATCTTTAAAAACCAATTATATATTCAATAAATAAATATGACTAAATAAACTTCTAATAATACGATTAATATAGATTAATTATACAATCTCTGGCTATCGCATGATTATATGTTGAATATACACTTAATCAATACTATATACAATTTGAAATATTCTGCTCTCAAATCAATACAAACATTCTATTTCAAATGTCACCAAGAACTAGTTTGTGTAAAAAGAAATAAATAATCCGCTAGTGTGTGTTTGCATTTAATATTGTTCTTACTGGACAAATCATGACGCTAGCCAAGGGTTAAGGGTTCTTCCTTGTTCAAATAACTAGCTATTAAATATAAAGTACCCTAGTGACTAGGGATGTAGGTACATAAATAAAAGTCAATAAATATTTCTTTTAACTATATATCTATTAAAATATATATGTTCACTATTTAGTCTTTATTACTTAATAAATGATTTTTAACCTATATACCCTATAGAAAAAATTAAGAACACTTCTATACTACAATTTTTTGAAAGAAAACGTACTAAAAAAAACGAATTAATATCTATCAGAAAGAAAAATCATTAGGTATTATGAACTTAGCAAGCATGTAGGATTATTTTAGAAAAACTTGCATATACGCATTTTTTTTGTCATAAGTTAAGCTAGCAAAATAAGAAAAATAAATAAATAAATCATGCTTAGAAATGAGTGTAGATTTTGTCTTTAGAGCTGTAGCTTAGTATATGCATAGATTAAGCAACTTTAAAGCTCGTTCTTTGTGTCTAACTCTTGAGTGCTGTCTCTGTTTGCTAGTGCAGACACAACCATCTCTCTACCATGTGTAATTCTATGATTTCCGCATTATTGTTAGGCTAGATAACTAGTGAATGCATTATTGGCTATGAAAAAATCACTTTATTCGCATTAACAAAGTTTAAAATTATTAAATTGGCAAGAAAAAAAATTGTAAAGAAAAACACGAATGCTTAAAACTAAACTTTGTAACTTAAGTTTTGTTCGGTATTTCGATATTGTTAATATAAATTTTGTGTGATTATATTTTAAGCTTATATCACAAACGTTTTAAATATAACATATTGACACTAATCAAGTATGGATGGTGAATAAAGATATTTTGATTTTGATTTGACGATCTATGCAGTGGATAGAACTAACTGGCTTCAGTTGTTATATAACGATGAAAAATCTACTTAGGAAGGAGTATGCTTTATTTTTGGTATTGACGAAACTACTATATATGACAACTGACACTTTATTTTTACATTTACAGCGCTAGAAGTGAGCAGTCATTCCCCACGTGCCGTCTTGCAAAGTTCCACTTAGATGTTAAACCTTCAATGAGCAGTCTAGCTGTGAAAACTTCTACAACAATGTAAGTAGAAAGCCCTGTCAGTTTTATATCTTCTTGGTACTACGTTTAGTAAACTATTATTTGAGAGCTTACAACTTAATATAGTCGAATGTAAAGAGCCCCTTAATACCTCATATTGTCCTAGCAAAAACTACACTAAACCATGCAGCTATATAAGCAACATTCATTGTTGCAAGAAATCCACACAACTAAAGACAAAATGCGTGTAATATGAGCTTAAAGAATCTGAATTGTAAAATCTCATGCTGAACATGATAACATAGGCAATAAAACTTAAATTAAAATAATAAAATAGGTAAGTGCTAAAAATTAATGTATTTTTTCTAAAACTTAACGTAAACAATCTCAAACCAAATATAATAGAACTATAGCAGACCATGAGCAATGTACTTAATGTTTGAAATTAATGTTTTAGATGTATCTACAATGTGCCATCTGTCGAGAAGCCTACTTCCTTAGTGCATCCGCAAGGAGCCGTCACCAGCAAATGTGTTTGGCGTTGAACGACTACTTCACATCAGCAGTAGCGAGCAACAATGACAACAGACGAGAGACACACGAGGCAGCAATTCAGACACCTCCACAGCAAATTAAAGCAGTACCCAGTGGCAGTGGCTTGAAAAGAAAACTACCACCTCCAAAGGTGACTAAGCGTCCTGTGACTAGTGTATTGTCAAGTCCATCATCACATACAAGTTCAACAACAAGGCTGACGTGGTATTTAAAAAAAGGTCTTCAATCAGCCAAAGACTATGTTATAGAAAATAATGAAAACCTCTACAAGGACCTACCGCCATTTATTGAAGCTGCTAACGAAGTGGTGCTCGATATACTACAAGATGAGCTGCGTGTCACCAAATCCCTCAAGTACAACGTCGTACTGGAGGCCGTCTACTGCCATCCTGAAGGACATTGCGAACTTATGAACTTCAAGACCACGTCGAGGCTTATACACAGCGCCTGTGATGAGCTACAAGAGCTGCTGAAGAAGGACGCCAGCAAACTGCTTCGTGAGGAGTCTGAAGCGCAGGCGAAAGGCAGTGGATGGACTTTGCATGAGGTAAAGAGCCTCACACTTAGACTAAGCAAATTTTCATATGCATTGCCTGCTGGAAGTGGCTATCTGCCACTGCCCCCAAAAATTGCTAAAAGGAAATGCATTTTAAATGTAAAAAACAGCAATGATTGTTGTTTCATGTATTGTATATTAGCCAAAAGTCTACCTAATATACGTTATGACTCAGTGCTTACTGAGCATAGCTTTAGGGAGTGTGAAACACATTACAACTTTGATGGTATTTCATTTCCAACGCCCATTTCACAAATGAAAAAATTTGAAAAACAAAACATCAACACTAGCGTAAACATCTTCGAACTGGACGAAAATGCCCATATTACACCACTCAGGATAGTTGATGAGCAGCAAGACCATTTTGATCTCCTTCTCGTTAGAAATGATGAAGGAGAGGCTCATTTTACGTTAATATTGAATTTCACAAAGCTTATGCAGCCACAAATTACAAAAGGCAGCAACAAAATTACAATCTGTAAAAGGTGTAGCACCTTTAAAGAAAACAGGCGCTGTGTTCCGACACCTCAGCACTGGTTGAGTGAACATTTAATGCTCTGTGGAAAATCAAAACCAAGTGAAGTGATTTTGCCGGAGCAGCATAAAAGCAAACTTAGATTTGTTAGCTACGAGATGCAAATTGAAGTACCAATTGTAGTCACAGCTGACTTCGAATCAACACTATATCCAGTTCCCTCGACAGACAATGCCTATCAACGGCACGAGGCGAACTCGTTTGCTTATATCGTAGCAAGTAACCTTCCCAAAGAGCTGTTAGAGGAAGCTGAGATAAACACCTCACCCTACATACACAGATCGGAATCGGCTGCAAAAGAATTCCTTTTACAAATGCAGGAGCTAGCTGTAAAAGTGGAAAAGCTGTACACTAAAAATGTGAGCATGATTGCATTAAATGATGAACAACAGAAACAGCATGATGAAGCGACAAACTGCGAGCTGTGTGAAATAGCATTTGATGAGACATTGGTTCAGTCAAGGAAATGCCGGGACCACGACCATATAACAGGTCAGTTTCGTTATACCTTGTGCTCGTTGTGTAACACCCGCTGTCAACTTCCAAACTTCATACCAATATACTTTCACAACCTTTCTTCATACGACGAAGCATTCATTATTAAGAACTTGGCAGTATTACCCAACAGCGAAATAAAAGTGATCCCTAGTAATTCAGAAAGATTCATCAGTATATCGATAAAGATTGGGAGGATGTGGCTTAGGTTTTTGGATTCATTTCGCCTAATGGCGGACAGCCTTGCGAATCTCGCTTCGTATCTCACACCGACGGAACTCGTAGAGTCGTCCAAACTTGTGCCAGAACAGCATGTGGAGTTGATTCAAAGAAAAGGGATTTATCCCTATGATTATGTAAAAGACTTTGCTGTATTCAGTGAGGAAGCACTGCCACCACGTGAAAGCTTTTACAATGCCCTCAATGACTCGGAAGTTACGGATGCAGAATATCAACATGCCCAACACACTTGGAATACAATGAAAATGAAAAATTTTGGACAATACCATGATTTTTATCTGTTATTGGATGTTTGTCTTTTAATGGACATAATTCAATGCTTTCGCAAAAACTGTGTAGCCACCTATAACATTGACTGTTGTCATTCATTTACAGCGCCAGGTCTAGCATGGCAGAGTATGCTACGTATGACTGGTGTAACTTTGGAATTGTTGACGAACTATGACCATTTCTTAATGTTTGAAAGTGCGATTAGAGGCGGTTTGGTACAATGCTGCCACCGCTATGAAAAAGCCAACAACCCACTTTTAGAGAACAGCGAAGACTATGATCCAAACAAAGAAACCAAATACATGTTGTATTTGGACTGCATAAACTTGTATGGAAGCCAAATGAAAAAACACCTTCCAACTGGAAATTTTGAGTTTGTAAATGATGTTGATGATCTTAATTGGTCAAACTTACCTGAAGATTCGCCGTATGGACTTTTACTAGAATGTGATGTCACAGTGCCAGAGCACTTGCACGATCTAATGAACGACTTCCCCATTCTACCAGAACAAAAAGATGTGGATAATCAGGGAAAACTACTTGCTACGCTTGAAGATAAAAAACACTATATCGCTCACTATACAGTGTTCCAGCAGGCAGTCAAATTAGGCTTGAAAATTACAAAAGTTCACAGAGCGTTGCGATTCTCCCAGTCGCCGTGGATGGAAAAGTTCATCGACAAAAACACCACATTAAGAGCTGAATCTACGAATGAGTTTTCCAAAAATTTCTACAAGTTTATGAATAATAGTGTGTTTGGAAAGACGTTAGAAAACGTGCGCAATCGTGTAGATATTAGAATAGTAACTTCTGATGAAGCGTTCCAGAAGCTGTCACGTCAAGCAAGATTTGTTGACAGAAGCATTATCGCTGATGGTGTGATCGCGGTACATTTAAGAAGACAAAAGGTAGTATTAAACAAGCCAGTCTATGTTGGTTCAGTAGTTCTCGACAAAGCAAAAGTTCATATGAACTGGTTTCATTATATGGTTATGAAGAAAAAACTAGCTCCGCCAGACTTTGAAGTGTATGTTAACTATTCTGATACTGATTCTCTATTATATACCATAATTACCAAGTTAAACCTAAATAATGAATTGAAGGAAAGATTGGGAGATGTACTGGATAGGTCATGCTATCCCAAGGAGCATGAGCTGTGGCTGGAAGGAGCGATTCCTCAAATAGGCACATTTAAGGATGAATGCAAAGGAAGACAGCTATTTGAGTACGTAGGATTGCGTTGTAAAATGTACTGCTACAGGTTCAACTCCAGCCAACAGACAACGGCAAAGAAAAAGTGTAAGGGAATAAGCAAACGCTATGTCGAAAACAAAATTTCATTTGATCACTACAAGAAGGCACTGTTTGAAGATAAACAGTACAGAGCGACATTTAACCAGATAAGAAGCAAGACATTTCAACTCACCTCTAGAACAGTTGATAAACTCTCTCTGTCAGCCAATGATAACAAACGCATAGTGTTGCAGGACAAAATTAGAACTTTGGCGTATGGGCATTATCGAGCTCGTCAAAATGACGATGGAGGATCGTCAGAATATGATTGTAGTCAGTCTTAGCTCGATGGTTGATCAGCACTCTTTAGGAGTAGTCAGAATGTTGTATTCATTGAGTATGGATGCCGTTGCCCGTACTATTCCATATGAAAAAGAATACGAAAGAATCGAGGATATCGAAATGTTTTCGATACTCCCTTCCCTCATGCACACAGAGTTGAGAAGCTCTATTAAACGGACTTGGATAAAAACTACAACAGTCAACAGAGATTTAATAAAAAGTTATGAGTTTAGAGATATCGACTTTATGCAAATTGATAGTTATCAGTTTGTCATGCTCATGAACCATCCTCTGGAGGAACCAGAGTTTTGGAGTCGAAATTACTATGGTAATAATTGTCATATAAATGTGGACTACTATGAAACAATACAAACAGAACGTCCTATGAAGTATTGTCGAGGCTGCTTTTTTAACCTTTTTACACTAAAAGACGATAATGATATTGACTATCAAAGTTATTGGCACGAAAAGGGGTTGGCATTTGTACATGTTGTACAGCATTTTGAAGTTAACTCTAACAGGCTAATTGATGCAGTGGTTAAACAAGAAAATAACTGGTGTGACTACTGTGTATTTCGACCATTGTTTACATTTCTAAACTACTTTGACTGTAGAGACAATAACAACATGTTACATGATAGTGATGAAGACAGCCCCGCATCTCCAGTGACAATGTTTAACCGTACAGAACTTTATGATCCGTATAGAGAGTGACATACGCTAGTCCAGCATATTTGAACAATGAGGCTGTTGGTCAAGTTTTGTTTTTTTTTTTAACCATACAATTTCACGTTTACTGTGTTTGTTTTTTGCGTTTCTGTTTATATATTATGTTTTATTGTAAACCCTAGCTATTGTAAAATAATTTGATGAACTCATGCCTTTTTGTTGTCTATACTCTATAAGAGTTGTTTATCTACTTGAGAACTGAATTCTAGTAGTATATAGCTAAAATATAACTTAATAACATGATATAACAAAGTAAGATAATGCTTAGCATTATGATATTTAACACATGTATATTATTGTGCACATTTCATGAATATTTTGTAATGTACTAACAACCTTTTTCGATCTGTATTTGTTTTACTATTACATGTTTACTAATCTTAACACATTTATGTAACGCTAGAGTTGTATATAATAAATACATCTAAAATGTTTATGGTTACCTGTTATGTTGGTGTTATCTATATAGCATTTATCTTTCAAATAAACTTATGTTAAACTTGACTACTTTGTTTGTTGCTAAACCCATTATTTAAAAGTTTTCCAAACACCCTCTGAAAAATTACTTTAAAAAGTATTATTGCTATGGATGCTAAGAAAAGTAAAGTCAATCCTCTACTGTGTTGTTGCTAGCTTAGCTGAAGGAAAGGGTAAACAAATAAATAAAATCAAAGTTTGTAATACAAATATATTACCATAAGATACATTGAATACAGCAATTTTCTCTTTACCATTTTGACAAGTATTTTAAGTTCTCCATCACAGCTTCGGTAATGTTTGCTGCACAAAAGCGGCGTACCTCACTGTCTATCCACGGCATCATTGATGTCCTGAGTGCAGTCCGTTCATACCAAAAATCTTGAGTCTCTGCAGGCAACCTCCTTTCATTCAAGTCAGAAAGTAAACGTGGCAAATCACTTGTAATGTGTCGAACGAGTTGTTTATCCAAAGTCATTGAAGTCAAGTCATTTGTAGTGTTTGAAGAAAGCAAGGCCATTACCTTATAGTGTTTGGTAAAATATCGTGTGTAACGAGAGATCAGAAACTGCACAGTTGGGTTTATTTCAAGTAGGATATTAAAGTAGCTTTCAAGGGATGGGAACAAGCGTTTTAAAGAAATCCATCCATCATTTTGTAGAACCACTCTGGGAGTCTGTCGAATAATATCAGATTCACTAGAAGCTCTCGAAAGCGTAACAGAATTCAAATTGTGATTAACTGGCTTATTTCTCAGACGATAGTTACAAAATGATACTAATCCATTTGGTCTGGGTTCCAATATGACTGTATGTAGATAGAATGGATTGAATGGAGTTTCATTGGAGTAAAAGTTGTTGACAGAGTGGTGAACTGTAGAGCTTTGCAGACTTAAAAGATCTTCAAATGTCAATTCAATTGAGGTTTCATTATTCACTAAACAAATAGAAGGAGAAAAGTCTTTAATAGAATCAAGACCAACAACCGCATGAGCCTGGCTTGCAACTTTGTAAATCTGTCTGAGTAAAAGACGTGGTTCCCATGAGTTAGACTGCTGGTTAGAACGCACAGCTGCTTTGTGTGAACTATGAGAGTGACTCACCACAGATGTTGTCATCACAGGTGTTGAAGTAGACGTCGAAGAAGAACACACGTATGACACTGGTGGTGAAGTCGATAGTGTGGTCGGCGACGTAGATAGCTTAGGTGCTGATGTATTTGATAATAGTTGTTGCGAACGTTGAGGTGGTGGTGGTGGTGGCGGCGGCGGTGGTGGCAGTTGTGATGACAGTGATGGTAAAATCGAGGCATGAAGTTTTTCTTGATGACCTTTCTGACGAAAAACCTGGCTCGACCTGGCGCGTGTGCCAGATTTTGCCGAATTGGAGTGGGCTGGTATTTTCTGTTGTACGATTGACGGCTGTTCCGGTCGATACTCTTCCACTTCCTTTGAATCGTAATCCTCATCCTCTTCCACTGCATTACCATTTTCACTGCAAACTGTTGAACACTCGCGGGTATAGTAATTCGCTTGGATCGCACTTGCACCTGCTGTTGTGTGTACAGAATCAGATACGTCTTGTAGAGTCTCACCAGTTAGAGATGCAAGAAGCTGGTCAATGTCCATAGTATTTACATCGGAGTATATTACGTTATGCACTGGGGGTATAGGGGGAGCTTTAGTACGTTTGCGTTTCACTCGCGATAGATCTTTACGTGGAACTGGTGCCGACCGCTTCACTGACGCGTTCATACTGACTGAACCAGCAAACCAGTTCTAGGTTTTATATGCAGTGTATTTGCAGGTCTGGACAGGTCTTAGTACGATCATTGACCTTACGAGGCGGATGCTGAGCGCCAAGGACAAATCCATTGAACCTCTAGGATCTCTTTCTTTTTTGCGATTACATAACGTTGTTGTATAAAGAAGGCTTTGACAACAAGTCTAGACAGGTTTCCATTTATTTATACATGCTAGAAATTTTAAGAGATAGATAATCCTGTTGTCGTAAGTAATGCAGTGAGCTTTCTATCAATAGTTGCAAAAAATTTTAAAGTTTCGGCATCTGATCTATCCAACGTGTTTAGCCTTTCATCAATGGTCCTTAATAATTTTGATGTTTTCTCATCTGATTCTTGCAGCTTCTTTACCTCTCCATCTAAGGATACTAGCGATTTAGATTGTTTCCCGTCTGAATCATGTAGCTTCTTGAATCTTTTATCCAAAGACATCAAAGATGTAGAAACTTTCTCATCCGAGTCTTGTAGCTTATTGAGCTTATCACCCAAAGATACTAAAGATGCAGACGTTTTCTCATCTGATTCAAACAGCTTTTTGACATTTCTATCCAAAGATAACAAATGTGTAGACGTTTTCTCATCCGAGTCTTTCAGCTTCTTGAGCTTATCATCCAAAGATAATAAAGATGCAGACGTTTTCTCGTCTGATTCAACTAGCTTTATTAGTTTGTTATCCAAGGAAGCAATTAATTGTGATGATTTCCCATCTGATTCTTCTAAGTTGTTTAGTCTATCGTGATAGGATAACTGATTCTCCTTTATGTCTTTTAGCTCGGTCTTGATAGAACCCTCTATGGAGACTATTGATTGTTTTACATCCTTAACTGCTTGCTGGGCCTCTTTGAGGCTAACAACAAAGGTCTTTAACTTTCCTTCCACCTCATTCAAATCGTCTTTGTTCACATAGAAACGATTTAAATAGCCTTTAGACACCTTTTGTCGTGATACGTCAGGTTCCACTGCAGCTCTAAACCTCTTTGATCCATCTTCACTTATCACATATGCATCATCTTCGTCATCAGATAAGTGATGCTTCTGTTCTTGATACAAAGCATGTCCAAACTTATCTATAATGTGTCTTCTAATCATAGCTTGTACAATATATGTTTACAATAACAAGATCTAATCCAGAATGATGGGAGAAACAGGTTAATATACTATTTAAGCCCACGAGTTGTAGCGTGAGGGAAACCCAAGCCATTTGACATAAATCTTGTTTCCTTTGCGCTTTATAACCTTTTCAACCAAATACGTATCTGGGTAATTTGTCTTTTGTAATTCTGGTTCGTAAAATGCCCCTTTGATAATGTCCCCTTCTTCATCTTGCAGGTAGTACACTGGTGGGACAGATTTTCGCACTCGTATGATTTTAAATAATTCAGTACTCCAGTTTGGGGTGTAACCTTTTTCAAACAAAGTTTTATACTTAGAAACCCTGACTTTATCATTGACTCTTAGCTTTGGAATCCCTTGTACCTTGTTTTGATTTAATTTCCTCACCAATGCCCTCTCGTGAAACGATGTAACATCTCGTGGTCTCATGCCTGTTGTCCGATGTAGCCTTGAATTGTACATGGAAATTAAACGAGGAAGCATGTCTAGCCACCTATAATCTCCCTGTACAGCAAATTCCTTATACATCCAATTTTTAATCGTTTTATTCAGCCTTTCTACCACAGAGGCCTTCAAATGGGTGAATGTACTGAAATGATTTATCGCAAAACGTTGCATTAAGGATTTAAATTCTTTATTATAAAAATCTGTACCAAGATCACTTTGAATGTTTTGTGGTATTCTTCCGCTATTTTTCAAAACATTTTCCATAGCTGAGGCCACTGTCTTCCCTTTTTTGTTGTCTAAAGGAACCGCCCATGCATACTTTGAAAGAACATCAATTATCATTAGGATATACTTTTTCCCTTTATTCGCTTTTGAGTAAGGTATCATTTCTATCAAGTCGACTTGCCACAAATCGTCAATACCTCGAACAAAAACCTTTCTTCTGACAAAGTTTTTCCTAGCTGGTTTGTGTAACTCATTAACAATACCTCTCTTGGCAGCATCTGCTTGACTTGACATTGTCTTCTTTCTTTTATTCATAATGCCTTTATTACCTATGAACACTTAAGCGATAATACCGTTTAGTTGAAGCAACTCTATAATATAGTCTATTTCTTCGCTATGAGCGTTGTGACCGGCTTCTTGTGACAAAACCAAGGTTTTAAGTCGCTTCACCAGTAAATTCACATCAGATGTGTACCTGTCCACGTTTTCAACAGTTATACCACTTCCACTAGCGTGTTCCGGTGTTGTAACGGTCATGCCTTGCTTTGGTGGAAAAAGTACCGATATTACGCTTAAGTACTTTTTCCCCCTATTTGCATTTACAGGTTTTTCAGCAGAATACATCTGTCGGTGTGCATTGGTGTCTTGAAGGATCTTTTTGTACACTGTCAAATCCTGCCTTTCTACTATATCCTTATCAGGAACCTGCATGAATAGTAATTCAAGGAGTCCTGGAGTTGTTTCAAAGCTGTGATTCCTTACCTGTATCTTTGAATTTGTAATTTTTATTCTAGAATCACCAATTGTCGTATTACCCCTTCCATCAAGTCGAACACCATAAGTCGTGTCCATTTTATCTTTTGTTTGAGGATTGGAAAGCCTTTTTAAATACGTATCCAGCTGATTGGGTTTAATGGTTTGAGTAGACACATCTAAGGACTTATTGAAGTCATCCTCCTTTTCTTCGTCTTGTACAAAAGTTCTATCCATAGTTGTACTCTGATCATCTTTTTTAACCACAAAGTCTAGTTCTTCTTTTTTAACAGGTTTATAATAGTACTGCTGTTCCTTCAAACGTCTCTCTACTGTCTCTTGCAGAGGTTTGACTATGGGTTTAGCTTGCACTTCTAACAACCTCTCAACATAATCAGCATTATGCTTCAATTGTTGAAACTTTTTACGCACAGCATTTGTTAGTCTAAGTAGTTCATTTTTTACTATATGTTCGTGCTTGTTAGCACTGTCTTGGTTCCGCTCCTTCAAGTTTGGTATTGGATATTTCTTCACTATACGTCGGATTACTCGTTTTGCTCTTAG